TGATCAAATATTTTATTATTGTGCCATATAACTTCAACATTTCAATCTGGTGGTTAGTTTCACAACAACATATAACGGGATATATATGATAATGATAGGCCAACGATAACACAAGTTAGTTTCTCTCATGGTTATAACATACAAGGATCTTCTGTTTACAAAGGCTGTAAATTATGGGAGCAGCCCAGTTACAAGAATCATAATGAGACATTTGTTTTGAGATCAAGGGGTTTCCGTAACAGTGATGAGAGTTGAGAAATTGAAGGATCTGCTTATAAGAATGATGAGAATGCAAGCCTTACTGAGAGTGACTGCAGAGCGAACTGCTGGAAGGACTGTGAATGTGTAGGCTTTGGTGGTGGATATGACTATGGACGTTCATACTGGAAAGGGAAAAATTGACTTTTGACCAGTCTTGATGGTTCTGCACCTAAACGATTCGTTCTTGTTTCAGAGTCTTCAAACAAGACAGAGCCCTCAACCAAAAGTAAGTTCATATCACCAAATCAAGAATTTTTCAACATATGCACACATTCTCTTACTTTTATTTCTCTGTTTGGGGGTTTATGATCCCTTTTTTTTTGTTAAACTTTCATTTCGGTTTTATTTTTTTGCAAAAGAAATTTCTTCTCACCTAATATGTTTTTTTTAAAGGAAGGAGGGCGGTACCTCCAAAATTTTATTAATATGTCCTCACTTGTGGCGGAGGAATACCGTGGTTACAAATGAAGTCAAGAACATCAATAAATGAGGAAGTACTACTTCCCTTACAGTGAAAGTAAAGAATAATAGGAAAGTAATAAAAAAGGAGTACTACCTCCCTTACAAAAAGCATACTTGTAAGCAAAAGTAAGAAAATAAAAAACAAATACTTAAACTCTAATGCTGGGCAAGCCATATCTGTCAATCTGAACAAGTGCCCTGATGTGTCGTAGTAGGTCGGCTGGTTCATATTCCTGGTATGTACGATGATGCCAACCCTCTGAAGCAAGAGCATCTACAACTTGGTTCCCCTCTCTAAAGATGTGGGAAACCATATCTCTGTCAAATGAAACAATATCTGCAATATGTCTGAGTATCCCCTGAATATGCCACGGTCCGCCACCTTTGGTAATGCAGAGAATGGCCACAATCGAGTCTGCCTCAACCCAAATATCTGACAATCCAAGAACTTTAGCCAGTAGTATCCCATCACGAATA